AAACTGATTTGAATATCTATAATTATTAAAAAAATTTATTAAATTTAGCAGGGAAATAACTTGACTTAAGAGATCCGATTCAGAGTCAAGTGGGATTAGATTAGTTTAAAATGTTATTATTTTAAGATTTTTTAAAATAAAATATTAAAAAAATATTATTTTTAAAAAATTATATCCTTTTAAAATCAAATTTAGATAGGCTAACAAGTAAAGATTACCAAGTGATCCATACAATTCACTTAAAGGTGTAATATGGAAACACGGCCTAAGGCCTAAGTAACGTATTTTAAAAATTGAATTTTTGTTGTTTCAAAACATTTTTTTATTTTTCAAATCATTTTAATTTATTAATGTTAAAAATAAATATTTCCAACAAAAATTAAATATAGTAGTTAAAACAAGGCTTTGTCAAAATCCATGTTCTTTACATAAAAATCAAATATTAGTGTCCTTTTCACTGTCTAATCAGGATTAACTTAATAAAATGGTAGAAAGTTGGATGTGGTGTCTACAGATGGTGGAATCAGTGAAGAAAAGTCCAAGAAAAGGGGTCAGTTCGGCCTTGTGAACCTGTGAGTCGATCATGTTTGACTCCTATAGCTTCAGGCGTCGGAAGGAGCTGAAAGGGGTCACCGCCACTATTAAAATGGCTTACTTCTCCCCTTAATAAACTCCAATTTTTGCAGCCAGCTTTGACTGGAGTTTGTGTCTCCTTAGAGCCAAAATTGCTCACACTCACCTTAATTTAAAGCGAGTTTAGGAAACTAGGACCATTTCTTTCATTGTGAATTGTAGCATGAAAAGCATGTTTTAAAACAAAAAAATCATTTGAAAATGGTTCAATTCTGCTAACTAGATTATAAGGATATCACCTTATTTTCCTTTTATGGATTTAAACCCAACAATTTCACTGACACAGAAGTACTAATTATGTTGTAAATTACATTATTTTGTCAAGAATATCTTTAATTTTTGCCATTTTCACCTCTTCACTAAAAGCTTATGCTTTGAGTCACTTTTTAGATATTAATCCTGAATATATATGACGAAAAAAGAGCTGTTGTATTTACAAATATAAGTGCTGAAAGTGTTTGAATCACAACAAATTAAAAGAGTAAGGGTTGGTGTACCCAAAAACTTAATAGAGGGTTAAAATGAATAAAATTAGAAACAAAAGAGACCATGAAAGTGCTATTTATCCCCATGAAAATTGTTCACAAAATTTGTAATGACCTAATTTTAAGCGAGGCTGAGTATTTCAGCATGAGACATCACCATTAACCTTTGAAATAAGCATAGTTATTAAATTTAGCCAAGTCAATAAATAAGTTTTTTTAAAATTATTATTTTAAAAATTAATTCAATTAAATTTAAATAACTCTATCAAAATCATGTGAAGCTTAAATAATTAACTCTAATTTATTAATTTCAGTCAACATTAGTTTAAAAATATTATTTAAAAAGATTTAGTTTGAGTTATTAAAAAATTAAAAAAATATTATTTTAAATACATTACAAGACGCTAGCAAACTCTTGAACGGATCCTTAGTCCAAATCATACCTAGGGCCACAATAAACTATATATCGAACCAGGGACAGCAAAGCTTCTATTTTTAATTTTTTTTTAAAAAAAAAACAATGGAAACACATGCTCTCGTGAAGATACGTTACAGGGTGTATTTATTTTTATAATTCAAGCTATTTCTTAAAATGTTTTCTAAACTTAAAAAATACATTATTTTAATTAAAAATATTTTTTATAACGCATCTGTTAGCATTTAATATATAAATACACACTAACTTTTTGGCATTTCAGTCATTGCCAGGCAATCAGCTCAGCCTCCCATCACTGAATGATTTGACGTCCGAAGAGATGGCCAGTAATTTCCCTTCTAATTCCGATAAAAAATAATGTTGAAGGAAGCTGTGGTATCCTCTCATTTTCTAACCCCAACCAGAGCCATGCTGACCTGGCCATCGTCAAGCTTGAAGACTCTCTCAAAAGCATTCCCATTGGTTTCTGTTGCTGTGGAGGAAGTTCCACTGCAATTTCAAATTTGTAAAAGGCAAGCAGAAAATTAAGGATCTTTATTTTGCTGTCGAAAGCATTGCATATCGGTTCTGCAGAACACCTAACATGTTGAAATAATGCGTAATATTTAGAAATAATTACTTTGGTAAGGTATATATTCATTAAGAAATTATTTAAAAAAAAACAAATTCCACCTCTAACATTTGTCGGTGGCTCGTGGTGGACATGTAGTTACTATTTCAGCGGTCTTTTAGTGCCTATTTTAATATATTTAAATGTCTCATAAAATTAATTTATAAATTTGAATTATTTTTGAATAAATTATTATAGTTTTGTAAACTTTTTGAAATTAAATGCTTATTATTTTATATAATATTTAAATTGTTTGGACACTATTAATTTGGTTAGACGTACATTGTTTTTTCTAAATGATATGGTTATTTATATAGATTTGATATTCGGTCCAGTAAGTCGATATGGGGCTAGTACCAGATTTTAAAAAATAAAAAAAGCCAAAATTTTGTAAAAGATCAGTTGCAACCTGTTGATTTTTTTTTTAACTGAAACAACATTATTTTGAATTTAAAAAAATATCATAATTGACCCGAGCGACACAGTGACCTAGTCAAAACCTGAAACCAGGTCCTTAGATCGAATTAGGTTTAAAAACTCTGGTTATTTGTGTTGAATTGTAAAATTATTTTTTGGATTGAAATTGAGTTTTTTGAACATTACATTGATGCATAAGTTATGTTTAAGTTTATTTTGATTTATTTGGACTAACATGAAATTTAGTGGAAGTGGGTGAAATTAATAAAATATGTGGGGATGTTTTGACATTATTTGACTTTAAGCTTATGAATGATAATTTGTTTTGAATTGATATATTAATTAAAATAACCTTGATAAAAACATTTTATTTGTGCCTTGCAAAATACATCTTTCATCAATTTTTAATAATTTTTTAATTTTTAAAAGATTATTTTGTAATTAATTTTAAATTCCTCACCTTTTCTTCTACCTTCATTTATTTAATATTTGGAATTGTGACTTACACGCATAGATTTTTTTTATTATTAAATGAATCATTTTTTATCCATAAAAAAATAACAAAAAATCTTTCTTTCAAAAATACAACTTTATTTTAAACAAGATATGGTAAAAAATTATAATATTATTTGAGCATATTTTTTAAAAGAAAATTTAAAATATTTTTGCATGTTTTAAGAAAAAATATTGTAAGTATTTTACAATAAATTTGTAAAATTTCTAAGAATTTTGACCAATATTTGAAAAACATCAATACAAAAATTATAAACTTATAAATAAGATATATCCTTCATATTAAATAAAAATACAATTTATTTTTATTTTTATATTAACATTAGAATAATAGGTTTTTAACTTGATAATATAATGACCTTACTGAAGAAGGTTTTTTTTTTTAATTTTAAACAAATTAAAAATTAGAAAATATAATGTTTTTTTAATTTTTATCAAACAAATAAATAATATAGATTATTTTAAATAAATATATATTAGGGATAATACAAATATATTAGGATATTAATACTTTTTTTTAGACAGTAAATTCTATTATTTGAATTTTAAAATTAATTAGGTTTTTAGTAATTAAAATATGATGTTCATATTATTATTTTTTTATCAATAAAAAATGAGAATTTCATGTCCCTTGTATCTGTATCATTCTCGATTATCTGGATCCAAGATAATAATTGCCACGACAAGACACATTTATTGCAGCTATGTTTTGAAAATAAAGAAAAACACCCTCTGCACTCTTGGATTATTGGATTCAGACCGAATAGACTTCCAATAAAAGATCTCATAGATTTTCTGATGCTTGTGCTCAAATAAAATGGTTTTGTATATTAAAAAAATTGCAAACCTCAAATATACCTTCAAATTATTGTGGTGATCTCAATTTTTAACCCAAATTATTATTATTTTTTTATTAGTTCTACCATCATACTATTTTGATTTTTCAATAAAAACTTTTGTTGGAATCACTTAATGAAAAAAATTAAATTTATGATAAAATAATTTTTTTTTTAAAAAGTTATAATAATTTGATTAAGAAAAAAAAAACACAGCAAGAAAAGCTTATGCAAACCCCATAAGCTTTGAAAACTTGGGTAAATACATTATGTTTTACATTCTTAATTTGCATCAACAAGGAGAACACGTTTTGTTTTGTGAAAAAATGATGGAATGAAAATAGAATTTGATATATATTTTACCCAATCGGACACCAAATAATGTTTTATGGATATAATTTAGAGTAATTATAATAATAACATCATACACACAAAACATTTTACCTGACTTGTATAAATTTTGTAACATATTTTTATATAGTCAAATTCAAATAATATCTAATAAAAAGTTTAACTTGTGACTAGCTTGAATTTAACTGACTAGAAATTAATCGCATGCTCATCAAAAGATTAATATAAGTTGTTTTTGGTATTTTTTATTTTTTTAAAATATCATCATTTAATATTTAATTTATTAGAAATTAATTTTTATTTTTTATTTTTTTTTTAATTTTATTTTGTAATCTTTAATTACCTAATAATAAAGCTTTAATTTATATTTTATAAAATTATTTTAATATTGTGATTAGACCGTAAATTTAGCATATTAAGGGATCGGATTGCAAATTCAGTAAACTTGCCGACTGATGCTGTACATTTATAGGATTATTCCACATGCATCTTGATCCCATAATAACTTTGTATGTGATGTAAAATCTTTAGCAAACATATGTTCATCGATTTTTTGGCTGGATCAGTCAATTCGGTTTAGTTTAAGAACACTATCCTGACTCTCGTACCTCCGTAGACGTGGGATCAATGTATGGTTATGGTCCTTTTTAAGTACCGAAAACTTATAACTCTGCTTGACAACGAATTTAAATGCATATATAGATTGCAATCATGAGAGATGGACAAAAGCTTCTAGTGCAATACCATAACAACTTCATAAATTTCTATCAAGAAATTATTACAATACAAGAAAATTTATTACCACAAGTCCGTAATATATGTTAAAAGTGCTAATGTCCAATACACTTGTGCACTTTTTGAGCAAATATATGCATAGAGGATATAAACTTAAATGGAAAATGCCGGAAGATAACCATATGCATCGGCAACGCCACTCCTTCCATGAATATTAAGATAATTTTTTGACTCCTTGAACAGATGAGGTTCTCATTTACCAATCTACAGAATGAGACGACAGTGTTAGGAATCATTAATAATCTTAATTGGTTCGTTCAGGAGTAGGATTTGTATTCTAATTATGGAGCTTTACCTTGTGACCGTACCGAAACAATTTCATGCTGTCCACGCATCATGCTTCGAGAAAGAGAGTCCCTAATCCGCTGCAACTCAGACACAACATTGCTCATATTCATCCTCTCTGGTGGCAGCTCGGCAGAACAAGAAATTCCCACCTTCAGAATTGAAACCAGACATTCCAAGATTTTGCCGCTCTCAATATGGTTCATCCTATTTCTATGAGAGGAGGAGGATTGAGCACGACTTCTTTCCTCGTATTCTCTGAAAAGCATCGGATCCACAACTTCTGTAACACGTCCAGGCAGTGCTTTTTCAACGTAATTGTGAAGGTTCAGTCCGTCTTGAAACATGTCGTCTGTAGGTCTTTTGCCTGTAAACATCTCCAACAACAAGATGCCAAAGCTGTACACATCCCCATAAGTAGACACATCGCTTCCAATACCATACTCTGCAATTCAAGAAATTCACTTTATAAAAATCTAATGGCTTCATTTCTTAATGTATGACACGTAAGGAAATAAAATGCGCAAATACTTTCAAAAGGGTTGATGTTTCCATTGAAAACAAAGAAAATAAAGCTAAATTGTGATCATGTTGATGTTTGACCAAATGGAAACTTAGCTTTGTTTGTTTGAAAGCTTTCAGAAAATTTAACTGGCTTAGAACCGGATGACAAACTAAAAAATTGAAACAGTCAAAAGCAATGAAATTCTTGTGATCTTACCTGGTGCTGCATAGCCAATGGTGCCTTTTAAACCAACAGAGCTGGTCTGATCAGAAGATAATTGACCGGAAACTTCTGGTTGAAGCCTTGCTAATCCGAAGTCTCCAACACTAGCAATCATGTCACCATCTAACAGAACATTGCTCGGCTTCAAATCACAATGAACAATAGGCGTGTGGCAGTGATGGTGCAAATAGTCGAACGCCTTAGCCACATCAATTGAAATGTCCAACCTCTGAGTGAGATTCAAACTTCTCGGCTCATGTGCGTTGTTTGGCTGATGATGAGTCGAATGCAACCATTCTTCTAGACTTGCATTGTCCATAAGCTCATAAACTACAGCCTTAAAATCATTACCTTGAAAATCAGTGCTAGAGCACGCAGTTATTACTCTAACAAGATTTCGATGCCTAATGTTGATCAAGGCTGTGCATTCTGCCAAAAAACTCTTGGAAGCTCCTCTTCGTAGAAGGTTAAGTACCTTCACCGCAACAGCCATTCCATCCGGAGGAAGGATTCCTTTATAGACAGAGCCAAAACTACCAACACCAATTAAATTGGCCGAAGAGAATTCATTCGTTGCTCGGAGAAGATCTTGGTACGCCACTCTCCTAAATGATTTCCCCCAAGAAGATGTAGAAGCAGGATTACCTTTTGTTTTTCTCAAGCAATAGCAAAGCACGGATGAAGTCAATAAAATTGCTCCGAGAAATCCACCAGACATTGCAATGATCAGTATCTTCTTGATTGAAGATTTCATCTTTACAGACTCATTGGTTGTGCATCTAGGCAGATTCAATAGAGGTATACCTCCACAAAGCTTCTTGTTTCCTGTAATGGAAACCACACTAGTATTGCCAAAGGCACCTTGCATGGGCACCTCACCTTCAAGGTCATTAAATGACAGGTTCAGACTCTTTAACAACTTAAAGTCTCCCAGGAACTCTGGAATTTGGCCACTCAAGTTGTTATGAGAGAGATCAAGAGCGTAAAGTGCTCTCAAAGAACTCAAAGACTTGGGAATGAACCCTTCGAAAACATTCTCCCCCAAATCCAAAAACTCCAAACTGGTGCAGCTGCCAAGACCAAGGGGAATCTCTCCTGATAACCTGTTTTTAGAAACATCTAGCTTACCAAGATTCTCTAGCTTACCTATTTCAAAGGGAAGAGAACCTGTCAGCTGATTTGCTGACAGATTTAAATACAATGACAAGGATGTAATACTTGTGATTTCTTTGGGTATAGGACCGCTCAAATTATTGTGAGAGAGAGTCAGAGCCAACAAGTTCTGGCAATTTCCAAAACTCGACGGGATGCTTCCTTGTAAATTGTTGAGTGATAAATCAACATCAACGCAAGCAGTCATATTTCCTATTGACGATGGGATACTTCCTGAGATTTTATTTGTATTAAGATACAAATTACCGACATTTTGTAGCTCACAGATAGAACTTGGTATAATGCCTGTCAATTGATTTGCTTCGAAGCTCAACGCAACCAGGCTTCTGAGATTTCCAATCCCATTTGGAATGGTTCCACGTATTTGATTTCCTCCGAATATCATGGATTTCAGCTTTGTGGAGAAGTTGCCAAGTATTTCAGGCAGCGCTCCTCCAAAATTGTTATTATGTATAAGCAAAATTTCCAAAATGGTGTTGTTTGCAAGGGGGTAGAGAAAATTTAGGTTATCGTCCTCACCATTTCCAAGAACATTGTAGTAAATTGACAGGAACCTCAAATTAGGCAAGCTTCCTACTAAGGTAGGAACTAACCCAGTGAAGTAAGTGGTATCAGAGCACTGGTTGTGCAGATTAAATTTCTTGTGCAGTTAAAATGGAAAAGGAAGATTCGGGCATGATAAAGCTTACTTCCTCAAATTATTTTCTATGGAAAACAATGATGGAGGATCACTTATATTGCAATGATTTGGCTTTGCCGATTGAATGTAAAGGAATAAAGCCTGATGATATGGATGATGCAAAATGGAATGGACTAAATAGAAAGGCTACTGCTAATGTTAGAAAATGGGTATCTTCTAAGTCCATTAATCATATTTCTCAAGAACATGACTGTTATACAGTTTGGAAGATGTTGGAAGAAACATTTGCTAAGGAGAGTGCACAAAACAAGGTTTTTGTAATTAGAGACCTTGTGAATTTGAAGTATAGAGATGGTGAAGATGCTTCAGTGCATATAAATGTATTCCAAGGGTTCTTGAATCAGTTGTCATTGATGAATCTGGAGTTAGCTGATGAAATGCAAGCACTAATCCTACTGAGTTCATTGCCGGATAGTTGGGAGACTTTGGTGGTATCACTTAGCAATTCTACTCCGAATGGGAAGATCACTTTGAAAACAGTGAAGGATTGTATCCTCAATGAAGAGAAGAGGAGGAAAGGCACAAGCACTTCTGAGTCTCATGCACTTGTTACAGAAAGTCGAGGGAGAAGTCCAAGCAGGTTCTCTCACAGCAAGCAAGATAGAGAATCCAGCAATAGAAAAGGCAAATGGAAGCCAAGAGGAAGATCTCAGTCAAGGAAGGGTTTTAAGTGCTATTATTGTGACAAGCCTGGGCATATGCAAAAGGATTGCAGAAAGTATAAAAGAGATAAAAAGGGTAAAGATGAAGACAAGAATGAAGAGAATGGTACAGCTGCAGTTGTATATGATGGTGATGTTGCCATTGTTTGTGATGATGGTTGTGTTAATCTTGCATGTCAGGATACCACCTGGGTTGCAGATTCAGCAGCTTCTTACCATGTTACACCCCGACGTGATTTTTACACATCCTACACTGCTGGTGACTTTGGTTAAGTTAGGATGGGAAATCAAGGGATGGCTAGTGTTGTGGGCATTGGAGACATTTGGTTGGAAACCAATACTGGGTGCAAGTTGCTACTCAAAGATGTTAGGCATGTGCCTGATATGCGCCTACACTTGATCTCTACAGGTACTCTTGATGAAGAAGGCTATCACAATTACTTTGGAGATGGTAAATGGAAGCTTTCCAGAAATTCCCTGATTGTTGCTAAAGGGAAGAAAATGGGTCTCTACATGTCACAAGCCAAGGTGATCAAAGGGGAGGTGAATGCAATTGAAGATTGCTCTACTGATCTGTGGCATAAGCGGCTTGGACATTTAAGTGAGAAAGGCCTTGGCATCCTTGCCAAGAAGAACTACCTTCCATTAAAAGGTATGAACTTGAACACATGTACTCATTGTTTAGTTGGCAAACAACACAGAGTTGCATTTCAAAGATCACCTTCACATAGAAGATCACATGTTCTTGATTTAGTTCATACTGATGTTTGCTCTATGATTGACAAGTCTCTTGGGGGTGCATTGTACTTTGTTAGTTTTATTGATGATCACTCCAGGAAAATTTGGGCCACTTGTTTGAAATCCAAAGATCAGGTGCTTGATGTCTTTAAGGATTTCCATGCCAGAGTTGAAAGAGAAACTGGTAGAAAGCTCAAATGTGTTCGAGCTGACAATGGTGGTGAATACAGGGGTCCTTTCGAGAAGTACTGCAGGGAACATGGTATCAAGTTGGAGAAGACAGTTCCTAAGACTCCACAGCAGAATGGAGTGGCTGAGAGAATGAACAGAACCATTGTTGAAAGAATTAGATGTATGCTCTCTCATGCAAAGCTGCCTAAGTCTTTTTGGGGTGAGGCAATGAAGACTGCAGTTGCAATGATCAACCTTTCTCCATCAGTTCCTCTTGAATTTGATGTTCCAGATAGAGTTTGGAAAGGAAAAGATGTCTCTTATGCACACTTAAGAGTGTTTGGATGCAGGGCATTTGTACATGTTCCTAGAGATGAAAGGTCTAAGCTTGACAGCAAGACAAAGCAGTGCATTTTCTTGGGCTCTGAAGATGATGAGTTTGGCTATCGGTTATGGGATCCAAAGGAGAAGAAAATTGTGAGAAGTAGAGATGTTATCTTCTTTGAAGATCAAACCATTGAAGACTTTGAACAAAAGGAGAAAACAGAGTTCACTGTTTTTATTCCAACTAATTCAAATCCAAGACCTACTCCACAGTTACCTTTAATGCCTGCTAATCATGGGGGAGACTTGCAAAATGATGGTGGTGGTGGTTCTCTTATTGAGCCATTAGTTGGTGATCCTGAAGCAACTAATGATGATGTTGATGTTATTCCTGAACAGGTTATGCAGGAAGCTTCAGATGAGCCACAATTGAGTAGGTCAGCTAGACCTCGCCAACCTTCCACCAGATATTCTCCTCATGAGTATGTGTTGGTCACTGATGGGGGAGAGCCAGAATGCTTTGATGAAGCTATGTCACATGAGAAGAAAAGTGAGTGGTTGAAAGCAATGCAAGAAGAGATGAAATCCTTGCATGAAAACCATACCTTTGAGTTAGTGAAGCTTCCTAAAGGTAAGAGAGCACTCAAGAACAAATGGGTGTTCAGGTTGAAAATTGATGAACATTGCTCACAACCAAGGTACAAGGCAAGATTGGTTGTGAAAGGCTTCGGACAAAAGAAAGGTATTGATTTTGAAGAAATCTTTTCACCAGTGGTCAAGATGTCTTCAATCCGAGTTGTGCTTGGCTTAGCTGCTAGTTTGAATCTTGAAGTAGAACAACTTGATGTGAAAACTGCCTTTCTCCATGGTGATTTGGATGAGGAGATCTACATGGAGCAGCCTGAAGGTTTTGAAGCAAAAGGTAAAGAGCAGCTAGTTTGTAAGTTGAAAAAGAGCTTATATGGGTTAAAGCAAGCTCCAAGATAATGGTATAAGAAGTTTGATTCTTTTATGGTGGATCATGGTTATGACAGGACCACTTCTGATCATTGTGTATTTATGAAAAAGTTTCCAGATGGAAACTTTATTATTCTCTTGTTGTATGTGGATGATATGTTGATTGTTGGCCATGATGCTAAGAAGATTCAGATGTTGAAGGAAGAGTTGAGCAAGTCTTTTGCAATGAAAGACTTGGGACCAGCAAAACAGATTCTTGGTATGAAGATCACACGTGACAGGAAGAAGGGAAAACTTTGGCTATCTCAGGAGAGATATGTTCAAAAGGTACTTGAGAGATTCAACATGAGCAACTCCAAACCTGTTTGTTCTCCACTTGCAAGCCACTTTAAACTAAGTTCTAAGCAGTGTCCTTCAAGTGATGAAGAAAAAGATGAGATGAAAAAGGTTCCTTATGCATCCGCAGTTGGTAGCTTGATGTATGCCATGGTTTGCACAAGGCCGGATATAGCTCATGCAGTTGGTGTGGTTAGTCGGTTCCTCTCCAATCCTGGTAAAGAACACTGGTCAGCAGTGAAATGGATACTCAGGTATCTCAAAGGTACTTCTAGTTTTGGTTTATGTTTTGGTAATGATAAACCTATGTTGGATGGATACACAGATGCAGATATGGCTGGTGATGTTGATTCTAGAAAGTCCACATCAGGATACTTGATGAAGTTTGCAGGGGGAGCAGTCTCATGGCAATCAAGGTTGCAAAAATGTGTTGCATTATCCACTACAGAGGCCGAATATATTGCTCTTACTGAAGGGGGCAAAGAGTTGTTATGGATGAAGAAGTTCTTGCATGAACTTGGCCTAGTTCAAGAGAACTTTGTATTGCACTGTGATAGTCAAAGTGCAATCCATCTCAGTAAGCATCCTACTTTTCACTCTCGATCAAAGCACATTGAGGTTAGATATCAATGGATTCGAGATGCTATGGAGATGAAGTCATTCGTTGTTGAGAAGATCCATACTGATGACAACGTGTCTGACATGATGACCAAACCTCTACCGAGAGAGAAGTTTGAGTTTTGCAGAAAGGAAGCAGGCTTGTTAGAGCCTCCTAAATTGAATTTTACATATTGATCGCCGGTATGGCGAATTCCTCACATGGTGTGTGAGGGGGAGATTTGTTGTGTATGGTCCCACACCATGTGATAGTGGGACCACCACATTTAATGAGAAGAGAGGCAGCTGACCACTTTAAAATTAAGTGGTTCGGGTACTGTAGCACAAGATTTGAAAAGAGAAGAGAGGAGAAGAAAATCAAGAGAGAAAAAGAGAAGAAAAGGCAGCAGAGCAGCCTTCATTCTTTCTTTGATTTCCAGCTCGTTCACCGTTGGATCGGGCTGAGATTTTGACAGCAGCTTCTAGACACGTTGATCTTCATTCTGAACGGTTGGATCGAAGATTGGTGGTGTGGAAGCTGGCCGTTTTGACAGAAAACGGGGCTGTCAGTTTTGTGAGTTTTTCTCAAATAATTCTCCTTTAATCTTGTTGTAATCCGAGAATAAGTTGTTCTTGATGATATATATGTTGTATCCCTTAGTTGAATCTGAGGAAGAATGATTGTGAACCCATTATTTGTTGATAGTGGAAGTTTTTAGGTGGACTACGGTCCCGTGGTTTTTCCCGCATCGGGTTTTCCACGTTAAAAATCTTGGTGTTGATTTTGTGATTATTTGCATTATTTTTTCATCATTGTTTGATTATGTTTTACTGCACAAAGAGGGAAAGAATTGGGACTTGTGAATTGTAATTGTATTCCGCTGAATTGATCCGGGTAAATTGGTGTCCGGTTGTTCCGAGTTTTCCCAACATGAAGAAGTTGGATGAAATTTCAATATTAGAGAGACTTGAGGCATTAGATAGTGTCACTGGGATTACACCACTGAAAAGGTTGGTGTGAAGTAGAAGGACTTCAAGATTTGGAAGAGTTATGCCCAAATGAGGGGGCAGACTCCCATGAAGTTGATTGATTGGCACACCGAAATTAGTAAGAGAAGAGAGATTGAATATGGAAGGAGGAATTGTACCACTCAAATTATTTACACCAAATGAAAAGATTTTTAGCCTTTTCAATTGCCCTATAGTATTTGGAATACTTCCTTGCAAATTGTTGAATGCTCCACGAATTTCGTTGATAGATGAAAGGTTTCCGAATGAAGGTGGTGTTTCACCGACCAGATTGTTCCTTCTAAAAATGAGTACTTGCAATTTTGATAATGATCCAAGTAGTGCAGGAAGCTTACCAGTAAGATTGTTACGCTCCAAATCAAGATTCAGGAGATTCGAGCAACGTGAAATGTTGACTGGGATTTCACCACCAAAAGAGTTGCTCCCTAGTCTCAACATCTGTAGCCGAAACAATTGACCCAGTTCTTGAGGGATATTGTGGCCGAAGCTGTTGTTTTCCAGGTTTAGCACCCTGAGAAAACTCAAGTTGCCAATGGAGGGAGATAGGCTGCCCACCAGTCGATAAGAATGAAGGTCAAGCTCTACAACTCTCTGATGCCGACGTCCACATGTAACACCTGACCACTCGCAGAAGTGTACTGATTCATTCCACGAGTTCATTGCTCCGAAGGGATCTCCGACAATTTGAGCCCTGAAAGCTATCAAAGAGAGTTTGTCTGTCTCATTTCCTCCTTGTAAGGTGACGGAAAAACAGAAAACAGTCACTTGCAAGAAAAGTAACCACAAACTCATGCTTGTTTGCTTTATTTTTATGTGATGGATCTTAGAGCTCAAGTATTAAAAATATGCCTAAAGTGCTCTTATATATATATATATATATATATGGAAAGTGCTAGTGTAAATTCAACAACATTTTCCACAAGTGCGAGCCACAATTTTCCACAAGTGGGGAGTGAAATTTTCCACAACGCTGTAATTGTTATCAGGAAATGAAGGCGAGCTCCCATGAACACGTTTTCTACCGTGCAAAAACTGCAAGAAATCTCCCCACTAATGTGGACCAGGAATCATGCGCACAAGACAAATGATTTCCAAATTTCACTCCCTTAATTTTCAAACAGTTGGAACAAAATTCAAGACGGTAAGAATTCAAGGTGATAAGACATGAGTTGATATAAAAAAAGATACTGGAACTCAATTTAAGAGGGTAAGGATTGCTTTTACAGAGTAGGAATCGATTTTAGAAAATTTAGAATAAAATTTCAGAAAAAATTCATTTTTAGAGGTCAGGAATGAATTTCAAATGTATGATAATTGATTCCAAAACTAAATTAAACAATATATACACAATGATTAATTGTTATTTTATATATACACACACATAAACAAAATTGAGTGAAAGTCAGTTTGTTCAACTCTAATTCATTTAATTTTTTTTAAATAATTATATTCAAAACAATATAGTTTGAGTTATTTTAAAATATTAAAAAATATATTATCTTAAAATAAAATCGAATTAACACTGATATACTCTTGACCCGATCCGTAGTCCAAATAAGACATAGGATCATGTACAATAACTATAGATTTAATCAAGGCTAGCAAAGCTTTTATTTTACTTTTTTGAAAACAAAAACCATGAAAACACATACTCTCGTAAAGATAGGTCACAAGATATTTTTTAAATGTTTATATATTGTTTTAATTTATTAATATTAAAAGTTAAAAAATATTATATTAACATAATTTTAATTAAAAAATATTTTTATAAAATCAGACAGCTAGTATCACATTAGCAAACGAACACTTCCACACACATGGGATAACTGCTTTGTCATTTCAGCCATTATGCAGTTAGATCAGCCGTCAATCACTGTATGATTTGATGTGCCGATGAAGTTGAAGTGGGCATGATATTGAGGATGATAGGCAAATTGGCCGGAAGCTATGGTATCCTCTCATTTTCTATCTATCGCCATAGCCTCTTTCCTCTTCTCAATTATGCATTATGATAACACAAAAATGGGATATAAAGGCTCCACTTGCCTATCGAAGATATTTTTACTCAAAAAGTGGATCGATCACTTGTAAATTAGAGCTTTGTGTTACGTAACACTGTGTATTTTGCACAGTAAAATTATATATTTATCCTTTAAACATAATTACATGGATGGAAAAATCTTTTTTCACTAGATACATTATACATTGGACATTGCAAGAAAGGACGGGTTATATAGTATTTTTATATTTTCATTGTATAGAATGGTTACATTTAATGTCTTGAATTTTAATTTTTTTATATTCTTTATATGTATAAAAATCTTTTAAATACCCATTATATTCCCAACAAATATTAATATAAATATAAAGGATATTTATTCCTATTTAATGTTATTAGGGTAATATTATACTTTTTAGGTATATAAAAATTCTAATAGAACCCATTATATTTTCATCAAATATTAATATAAATATAAGATTGCACTCTCCTCTTTCTAAAAAAATAATATTCTCTATAAATATATTTTTATTTAAAAAAGAAAGAATATCTTTCTTTTTTTTTTTGCAAGATCACCTCCATTTTTTTTCTTATTAGATTCACCTCCATTGTTTTCTTATTAGATTTTAGTATTATTCTTTTAATTTTGATTTATTTTTTTTGCTTTGCAAAGTTTTCTAGATTGGAATTTTTTTTATTCGATTTTATCTTTTTACAATTAATTACTTTGAATTTGGGCTTCTTGGGTAAGATTGTGTCTAGGATTTCATGAGTTTCAAGTTTTGAAAATTAACAAGTTTTTAGAGGTTTGTCAAGGGTTGCTTTGGTTTTCTTAATCATTTTTTAAGTTAATATATTTTTTTAATTTTATCATTTAATATTTAATTAATTTGATATTAGATTTTTTCCAGTTTTTTATATCCTTTGTTTTTTTATTAGGTTTTTTCTACGTTTTTTGTTAAATTTATTTTTTAAAATAAATTCTATTCTTAAATAAAATAAAATTAATTAAATAAATATAGATAGATGCTCACTTTCTTTTATTTTGTTCGGTTTTCTTTTCTAGGATTTTGCTCTAGTAACCCATTTGACTTCTTTAAATGTTATTGTTCAACATTTTGTAGTGGAGTTTGAACCACCTTAGCAAATTCTTTTGGTTTTGAGTTACAGTGAGTATTCAATGATTTTTTCTTTCTTTTTAATTCATTTGTTTTAGTGAGTTGTTGATAAATGTTTTTTTAATGATTCATTTACTATTATTGCCTTTAATTTAAATCAAATTATTAAATTACTTCATTTTATTGGATTCAGTTAAATTAACCAACCGAGTACCGACTATCCAGTTTTTCTTGCTTTTTAAAACACTACTGTCACCTTGACATCCTTTTTGTACGTTAAAATTTTTTTAACTAGCGTGCAGCATGGGTCACCAATATATGGAAGTAAAATTTAAGAGACATGGGACAACCTTGATCTATACTGTCACACAACTCATCCCCCCTAAATCCTATGGTGCTTTTTTGTCACTATAACCAAGTAGGACAAAGATTGTCCATTTGAGCTCAAAATGTATCGGTTTGTAAAGTATCTACTTGACATTTTCTTTAGCTTCTATGAAGAAGAACATTACTGCAGTTGTTGCATTGGGGTATCATAGCAGCCAGCGTGGATAGTTTAAGAAATCGGTAGCGAAAAGCAGAAGCAGTATGAGAAACCAAAAAAATAATGAACCTGTATTATATCAGCTTAATTCATGTATAATTTGTTTGCATACATCCACTATGAAAGTAGATACGTAGAGAAATGAATAATCAAAGACGGTATAAACTAGACAACAAAGAACATAACAAACCTGTCTTAGTTCATAACTAACAAGTGTAACTTAACCTCTCTTAGAATACATCCTATTTATCATGCATAAGAATCAGCAGAGACTTTAGCAAATGCCATCGTCGAACGTCTAAAACTGAATCAGTTGATGCCAGGGCTGGGTCCAGAAGGTGGCAGGGGTGCACCTTTTGGTAACATAGCCGAAAGGGTCCTAAGAGCTGCCTCGAGTGATGAATATTTCCGAGCTTGGAATCCTGAAACATTCATGTGCGGGAGCTGCCTAGCCTGAGAACTTCCAGCAAGTGTTAAAACCAGCGCAAGAACAACCAGAAAGCATATGAGATTCTTGCACCTCTTTGAGCACGCCATTTATTGTTTACCTCATGTTTTACAGACGAAGGTTATATATATATATATGTGTAGGAAATCCATTATGCTGCAAAATGACCATGCAAGACGGGCCGGCTTGTCAACTGGGATTTGGTAAAGGTAAATTTCTCTGGAATAACCTTGCCTGCAAATGGTCCAGCTGTACATTCTTTTCGGCCGAATGGTAATCTGAGAAGACTTTCTTTCTTCAAATGTGAAGGATTTTTATGCGCCGGCTCGTTATTTCAGTGAAGAGACTAATTGTAATTGGATATGATTAAGTATTCTAAGCTCATGGATTAATATAAGTGATAAGATTTTACCTGTACAGGTAAACTGTCACATCTATATAAACGTAAAACCTTTGACATTAAATTGTATATAGCGATAAAGTTAGTTCTGAGTTGGCCTGTTTACAACCTTCTAATTCATGAGCTTGGCAGAAGTGCTACTTCAAGGTGCATCAAGTTCCAAGGTACCCGAGATTATTAACTATGAAATATGGTTTCTGAACGAGGTTTGACCTCTGCTGCACCCAATCCCTCCTAGCTTGTCCAGAATTGATCCAAGGCAACTAAACTTTTAAAAGGCTCTATAGGAAAAGGAGCACGAGCTCTAGTTGCATGACATCAACACTCATTAGAGGCAGGGTGAGGTCATAGTTTCTTGAAGCACACGGTCGAAGACTTTCAATTTTTTATGGAATTGTCAAATAACTTGATAACAAAGTGACATCAGGTATAAAATTCCTGGTCCGGGATGGAGCTCCAGGTGACAAATGGCCTGGAAAATTTGCATATCTCCAAACAAGTTTAAGGCAAATTCATATTGTTAATTCCTAGCCGGCAGGAACAAAATGATAAACTAATTATATATATCAATCCCAGAGTGATATGATTTCCAACAAAGATATGATTCAGCCTTGTCAAGAAGATCATAAAGAGACACCAAGCTTCAAAACTTCATGCAATGCCAAATAAACAAACATCTCGAGCCTCCGTACAAGAGCAAGTACGTGATAACAGGTAATGAAAGAACTGTCAGTTACTAGCCTCAAGCCAACCCAGACAAATGGAGGCTAACCCATCAAAATTCGAGATAGGATGATGATAATTCCTCATTCAAGAACAGACTGGTAAAAAAGTTGAAGAAACAAAAATTTATATTAACAATACCAATTCATCACCAATAAAAGTTGGAAACAGAGATCAGAATACCTGAACTGGCTCTCCAGATTCTGGAGGGAAGTGAAAACCTGTTGAGCACTTCTCCAAGATCTCAGGGCTTTTCATCCATCCATTATATCCATTACACACGTTCATCTGGAACTGGAACACCTGAAACAAGAAGATCATGATACAATGAACAAGATTCCTCTAAGAATCTCTTTGTTTTATTATTCCAAAGGATTTTCTGGTAAGGAGAACCGTTTTTATTGAAGGAAAACTAATCACAACCCCAAAGCTGAAAGCTAATTAGTCTTCCCTTCAAATTCACTCCATGAAAACAACAAATATTTGACAATAGAAATTTATCATTTAACTGGAGAGAAAGTTCTGTAATTTGCTGACATCATTGGCAAAGTGCACAGAAAGAGCATAAAAACATCACAATGGCATGAACGAGTGACA